TTTATTCTTATTATTTGAGATATGGGAGGAAACTAATTGAAAGGAGGTTACTATTTTTGGTTTGTGAGTCCACAACCGATGCAAAGATATGAGGTTTATGAATTGTTGAGATGGATTTTATACCCATATATATATATGTTAGTTGAATTTATGATATTTAAAAATAAAAAAAAAGAAGAAGAAAAGAAATCGATATAATCTTCCATGATAAACAGTGGTGGACAGTGGGGACTAAGTAATGCATGGTTATGGTATTGGGCCTTGGGACTTGGGACTTGAGAAAGTATTAGTCTATCTATGAACTTTGATGATCCATCACATGAATTGGCCCGATTCTACGAGACGTATGCAAATCTATTTCATTCAATCCATGAAGTTGCACGTACTATATAATGTTACACATTTAATGTTATAATCAAATTTCAAAAAAATTTAAACCAATTGAATATTTTCATTTTCCTCAGTAATTTCTTTCACTTTGTTGAATAAAAAGGTATGGTTATACTAGTCATGCATTTTATTTTGAAAGATTAGCATCTAACTCTCACATTCAACATCGTATTCTTTTCAATAAATATTTATTTATTTTTTAATTCAAAAGAAGAATTGCATGTCAAGAAAGTTAGATAGAGAATGTATAAACTATGTTAAAATCATGATGGTTGAATGATTATTTTTCTTATTTATTTGCGAATTTCTCTACTCCTAGATAGCAACTTTATAACATCGATGGCAAGCTACATGATTAATTACTCACTTATTTCAGTCAACCTTCTGCCTATTTATATTTATTCATAGGTTTTGTTATTTGTGATATGGGAGGAAATCTAGGAAGTACGGACAGTTCTACGAAAGAGCCGTACCCGTATCATATTTGTGTCGGACACCACACTTCTTGGACACTTATCGGATACGTATCGGACACTTTCATATATGTGTGCATAAATAAAAATTAATTTTATTATTCCCGACACTTTGCTTACACTTTTCAGATACTTCTCGGATATTTCTAACACAAAAGTCTAGCCGCTAATCTTAAAAATAATATGAATAATATCATAACAAAATAGTAAAATACTGGTATATATGATATAAAAATCATTACATAATTTCATTTTCTAATTCATTTCAGAGCAATTCTTAGTATATAAATTATAAATGAATTAAAGTTTTATAATATTATTACTAAATAGATATATATTAAATATATATTTATATTTATATGTAGTTGTGTTCATGTTGTAATCGTGTCCTACTTTTTTAAAATTTAACGTGTCAACGTATCAGTGTCGTATCATATCCATGCTACATAAGAGGAAACTAATCCAAAAGGAAAATATCATTCCGGTTAAAGAATTTTGTTAAAATAAAACTAAAATAAGAATTTTGTTTAAAAAAAAAAAAAAACAAACGAGGTTATTATGGTAAGATTTCATTTGTAGAACCAATAGTTTCATTATCTAATGCATCTTTTCGTTCTAATACTCTATTCGAATGTGTTCTTATCTAACCGAATGCTATTGAATTAAAAGACAAAAATATTATTGAGAAAAAGATGGTTTTCTAGATGAAATGAAAATTGGATTCATGTAACCGGAGAAATATTTCTCATTCCTTAGCCGAAAAGACATCCGCGATCATGAGCAAATTGAGAAGTATTAAAATGTTAACTTGAGGAAGTTTGCATGTAATTTTTATCACGTTAATAAGCATGTCTTGATCTTAAATGGGTCAATGTATCTCTTGATTGGTCATATTCTTATTAACATATTCTTCTAATATTGTTTTTAAAAGATTTAAATCTTATTATAACTTGATGCCTATTATACTTTTAAAAAAAATTGGGTTGTCAAAATTCAAAAGGGAATTGAGAAGTAGAGGTTTTCAATTAATTGATGGCTATAGTACGTGTATGTTGGGTTTTCTAGCAACAAAATTTGGTGGTCCTTTAATTAGCTAGGTAGGAGTCACAGATATGTGGTCCAGTTCAATTGTCACAGTAGGCCCATATAGCCAGTAGACCACAACAACTCAAGGAGATCTTGAGTCAGCTCCATCTATACCGTGTTTGTATGCCACATAAATGGATATATATGTATGTCTATATGTATGTGAAAATCAAAAATGGATATATGCTTATATGTGTGTGAAAAGCAAACCAAGTAAATAAGAGTCAAATAATTAAATAATTAAATATTGTTGAGATGATATTATTTGAAATATAAGAATCACGTGAATATATATATATATATATATATATATATATATATATATATATATATATATATATATATTTCCAGTTTGAATGTATATATATATTTCCAGTTTGAATGCATATATACACGCACTATCACACACATACACAAACAATGAATATAATGGCGTTTTTTGTTTAGTTTTTGTACAACAATTTTATGTTATCTGAGAATTGAAAATTTAAAAATTGTACAAAATTTTGTTTAGTTGATAATTTTATATATATAATTATTTTTTGAGAATTATATATATTTTTTGTTCCCTTTGTTTTCTAAGCTGTTAAAAACTATTTCTAAAAAACTTAACGAAACATAACCAAACATTTCCAATTGTCCATCCTCTCTTGTAAAGGAGGAAAACTCTATACTACCCTCTCTCTTGTTTTTTTCTTTTTTTTTTTATTATCGAAAGTTAAAATTTTCCATAGACAGGATTTGAACTACTCTATATTACACTAGATAATAGAAAATTAGGGATATTATGTGCTCCATGAGTATTTTATTTTATTTTATTTATTTTCTTATGCCAATGTGATAATTATAGTAGAAATTGTTGAATGAAAGTCAATAATTGAAATATGCATCAAATTTAAAAGTGAATTGTATTTTTATTTTAATATAAGATTTATTATATTTCTAAATATTTTCATGTAATTTATTTTTGAAATTTTGATATACATGCACTTTTATTCGTTGCAAATCCCTTTCAATTGAAAAATGGATCTTGAGAATTTCCACAAAATTTATATTTCTATTTGGGAGTCTAGAATGAGTTATGTGCTTTAAATACACTTTTTAATTAGTTAATTTTTATTTCTAAAATACAAACGTTTTAATCTCTACTACTATATTAATGTCAACTAAATTACAGTATATTTCTATATACTTCATTTTAATTATAATTTCATTTATATTCCCTCCAAACATTATGCTTTTCTCATAATATAAACATTGTAAAATCGTGAATTAAATTTGTTTGTAAGTTGTCTCTAAATTATTTTTTAATGAAAATATGCTCAGGAAAATCAAAATTCATTCTACATATTTTACTAATTCAAGTAAGCCATAAATGAGTTGAATTTTTTACATCTTATTAAGTATATGCATGGATGATTACAATAAATTATTTTTCTACATGTCTAAAATATTTAGTAATGATCTTACTCATGTCATTCGAATTTATAAAATTTTATATTATTAGATATATATAACTATATATATCTATATGAGTGATTGTATTCAGCCGGATTCAGCCAATGACAAGTTGACAACTCAAAATTTCCTTCCCTTTGTGAAAATTGGTCACTGCTGCCCAACTAACAACTCTCATTTATCATTTATGGGAGGAACAAATTGTACCAATACGTTGACGATGATGAAAAAATATAATAATAGTAAAGAAAGGGTAAATTCCACTTAGAGGTTTATCAATATTACATATAAATCCTTTTATGTTTTATAATTTTACATTCCTCCTCTATTAATGAGGATTGTTTAACTAGGTTGTTTTATCGTTTTGTCATGAAATGATTATTGTCATTTTAGGTATTCGAGTGGTAAATTTGATTTTTTATGTTTTTTTCTTTTTTATTTTACTATTGATATTAATAAATGTTGAGAGTCGAAATATGAAATTTCAAAATTCACCAAATACACCAACCTATTAGGTTATCGAGGCATCTGCATTTTAGCATATTCTATTTGTCTATGTTAAATGTCAAATAACCAAAACCAGGGATGGGGATAGACTACGAATACCCTTACATAGTTGCATTTTGGATAGATTTCCTATTGTTTTCACTCTCAATGGAGCAGAACTAAGGTAGCCGCACCTTGGCTGGCTTGATATAAAATATAATCGAATCATATGCACTGGTCATTATAATCTCACATACCCTGCCATTTTTCACTAGAATTCCATTTTATTGGCAAAGAGGCGTAGAAATAGGATTCATTATTACACTCCAGTCAATTCAAGAATGCGAGAAAGAAAAAGATATTGACAAAAGTTAAGAGAGCTCAACGGAATTAACCCAAAAAAAAACAAAAAAAAAAAACAAAAACTGTTGACCTTATTAATTTCGTACTAAGGTAGACAAGAGCAGATAGGCTGGACCATACTATCCACATGGCCATCTCATTTGAAGCCGAACACCAAAGCAATAAATGGGCCCAGGAACCGCTGGCATATTTGGGTTAGACTTTTTCCAATAGTTTTGATCCATTTCCGAGTGGGCTCAAGGTCTTTGTTTTTTTGCCTTCAAACATTAATAGGTAGGTGGGTCACAGTTCACTAGGTCATAGTAGTATTTATGTTTTTTCAATGTCACCGACACAAATCCATTAATGATTAAAATAACACAACTCACACATCTAACCAAAGAAAATGTTAAAATCACATATTGACCCCTTTTTTTTTCCGGACAAATTAATTGAATACAACTTTTGATTTGACATGCTATCTCTGTAGTTTGTGGTACCACAAGACACATCCACAAGGCCTCACCAATACAAAGTCAAATAACAAAATTATTATAGTATACTTACTCAAAATGTTCCGAATTTGTCCAGAGAGTAGACAATCGATTCAAAGACTTGGGGGTTGAGGCTCTCTTAATTTGTTGTTGATTTTATGATATTTGCTAATATTTTGAGATTTGACACACATTTCTGTTGTCGACTCCTGTAGTAGAGTTCTTTTAATGTTCTTATAAGTTGGAATCTAAGTAGTATAAGAAAAGCTAATTACTTGAATAATTATTAATACATTATCAAAAAATAAAAACAAACATTATACCATATCGAACGAGGAAACATATTTTCCCATCCGTTAAACGGTTTAGCGTATCAATTGTTACCTATATAGTACAAAGTGTAATCTAAACAGATAGTCCAGCTAAGAATGCCACCCCGGTGGATGGTAACCACGATGATCCAAAAATGAATTGTGCCACCGTGAACTTGCTCGCCTCGACTGTCGAATTGATCACCCGATACCCCGGCCAACCGACCCGTTGGCCGACGGCCGCGCCGGGACCGTAGTTCATGTACTCACCATAGTACAATGTGTCAAGAGCAAATGTTGCATTCCACTCTAGCCATCCCCTAGTGTGAATGTGGTCCCCCATTTGTGATAGCAAGTACACGGTCCTCGAGTACATCTTCCATGGACGGCCTAAATATGTTGAGAAGTTAGCTTTCGACCATTGCAGGTCCGGTGTAGCTAGGAGTCTGCAGGCGTGGATCGAAATGCCGGTGTTCTGATTAGGGTCCTTCCGATTTTGGGCGGTGATGGTGTTCTTTTGGCCGAGCATGGGTTTTCGAGCATACATGGTGCAGTTTTGGAAGACAACTGCTGCATTACCGAATATGAAGTCCACAGTTCCATATATGTCACATTCTCGAAAGAATTGGCGTTGAGAATGGACATATAATGTGTCTTGGTAGCCGATGACGTTGCACCGGTATACCACCGCGTGGTCCGCCCCTACTCGGAGAGCCACCGCTTGGTGCCTGGCTGGTCCTGCCCAGTTCTCGAATGTCATGTCCCGGGCAATGAATCCGGCTCCAGTAGCAGCTATAGATCACCATGAAAGTGAAAACTATAAAGCCCAATTTTTCCCATTGTAAAAATTCCATGAACTATTATTACATAATACAGTTTTAATGGTAATAAAATTTGGTTGCACAATATATATATATATATATATATATATATATATATATATATATATTACTGGCAATTTGGTTGCACAATTGAAAGTTGTATATATATATATATGTATGTATGTATATTACTGGCAATTTGGTTGCACAATTGAAAGTTGTTTAGTAATGCGTAACATTGTGTTGCAATCATGGTTCACCGATATGCGACATATTGGTCGATACACGATCCAATTTCTAGTTTAATACGTGATCTGTATCATCAGTTTATATTGAAGAAAGAAAAAATAATAATAATAATAATAAATAATAAATAAATAAATTAGTTTACAAAATTACCCATAAGACTGTGAAACAATTGCCTTAGCAATGGGATGTACCCGTAGACTGTGAAACAATTGTCTTAGCAATGGGATGTATCCATAGACTGAAACAGTTGCCTTACTAACAATGGGATGCTCATGACCCAAGTCCAATAATGTGATTCTCTTTATGTTCCAGCCACGAGTTTTGAAAGCTGGCAACGCCATTGAACATGAGGTGGAGGATATGGATCACAAGATCACTGTGTGGTTGTGTGTGTGTGTGTGAGAGAGATGCACGTGGGAATCCCGTGAACCTAAATAGACTAATCTAATGTTAGTTATTTAATTAATGTTACCTATGTTACAGATTCCTATAGTTGGTTTATTATTATTTTAAAAAAAGGAAAATATTCCAATTTGTCTTTAAATGCTTTTCAAAAAAAAAAAAAAAAGTGTTTTGTAAAATATTTGTGCCCATGCGAATGAGATACAAGAGATCATCTTATTTCCACATGGACCATAAGGGATCCATTCAACTTAAGAATTTAACAAATAATACTCTTAGAAATCTATTCGAATTTTTTTTAACAACATCTAGTTTGATTTGCTTCTTAGAAATCATGAAAATGCCAAATACACTAAGGAGAAAGAACGACAAAAAAAAAAAAACCTAAAATTGAACATTATTTCAAACAAAACTAATTATTTTAAACTCAAATTCTTACTCATTTTACCATTACAACAACTAATCGAACCTAAATCATTTTCAAGGGCAATTTCAGGTCACTCCAAATAAAATAAAATAAAATAAACTATTAATATAGATAATTTTAGCTCAGCTCAAAAAACAATTTATTAATAGTATAACCCATCCAAATAAGTCCAAATGAACTAAACTTATGATTAATATTAGTCTATTCCATTGATAATTCATTCGCTCTTAATTGAAATACAACTAAGGTATCGACAATATAATAACCGGGTCAATATTAAATTACTCCCTCTATGTGATTCACCATTCTTCAAACATGGCATTTATTATGGTACAAATGGAATATTATTATCTATAATAAAAATATATATATTTAACCCGGATCCTCAATATTTTAATATTGTTATTTTTGAAAATTTAATGATGATGCAATTATAGGATGTATAGAGGGAGATAAGAAGAATGTAGCAGGTGGAAAAGTAAAGAAAGATCAGATGAGACCACGTGCGTTTAATGGTACTATACATGATGCATGGTTTTGGCACATATATCAAGAAAAATTCGATTTTTACTGTATCAAACGTCCGACCAATCAGAGAGAGAGGGTAGGTAAAAAGGGAATTTTACCGAAAGATGCGGTGTGGAATGTCGTCATGTTATCAAATACGCTCTTCCCCCCTGAAATTACCGTCTTGCCCTTCCCGTCTCCTATGAACATCACATTCATTTTCTTCCTCCCAACCTTCAAATTATTCTCTTCGTACCTGTAAATAATACAAAACATTTAACCCATTAATGCCATTTCAACCTCAATCCATTTCTTTATAATTGCAATAATCCCCCTATACTTCTCTTATATTACTCTTAAAAGAGGCTAATTTCTTTTTCTCAAAGAAAAACACCCTAATAAGAATGGTAAATGTAGCTCTTTTCATGCAAACTAGTTAGTTTATTTAAGTGTTAATCATAATCCATTCATTCATCAAAACCTAACTACTTTTAGGTGTAGAATAATTTATACTCACGTGAAAATCGAATTAAAATAACTACTCTATTAGTTTACTTAAATGTTAATGAAAAACACTTTAAAAAAAGTAAATTAACTCCGTGGTTTTATTAAGTGTTAATTATTAAGAAAATAACTAAAACATAGTAAACAACTCATTTAGATCATGAAATAAACACTTCTAATTTATACAAAAAGAGATTTCATGGATTTATATATTATGAGTTGACATTTATAACTAAATTGAACTATAATAAATGATATAGTAACATGGATGAGCGATTACAGTCATCATAATTTAGGTAAATATTGATTTCAAACTCTAATTTTGATCATTAATGTAGGGTTATTAGAGTCTTTTCATGGATCAGATAAAGTACACCACAAAATCCAAAAAATAATAAAAACTTTTTAACTTTTTTTTATTTTTCCAGTACTAGTTGTAGTAGTATTATTATTCACGTGAACTTACTTTCCGGCCTTCACGTAGATGATCGTCCGGCGACTACTATATTCCGGCACCTTCTTAATCGCCTCCGATATTGTCTTAACCGACCCATTTCCGTCCTTCGACACCACAATGTCGGCCCGTATCGCCGTCACCGGCACGTCAAGCAACGATCTCTCTCTCTTACTCAACCACCCCGGCAATTCACCACTCTCCGGCGAGGAACCCATCAGCCTCCGGCGATTCTGAATCGGAACTCCGGTGAAGTCCTCGTCGTCGGTCGCAGCATAAATCGCCAAGCAATTGCTCACCAGCTCCGACAAGTCGCTCAGCCTCGCCAGCATCTGATCCTTCACGTACCCATTGACCTCATCGAATCCGTCCGTACACGTGTCCTGGTTCGTCAGCGCGGTGCTCAGCCACGTCATCACGTCGGCCTTGGACCCCGCCAGTGTTCCGTCTCGTGCTGGTACGACGGAGCCGAGACTCCGTGTGAGCAGGTCCACCGAGTCGTCCAGGAGTTCGAGGCAGTCGTTGTATGCGAACCGTACACGTGTCGCCATTTTGACGTTGCTGAACTCCGACACGACGTAGAGCGCTCGGTCGAAGCGCTGGAGGGTCATGTTGACGGAGATGTGAACCAAATCGGGCTCCTGGGCGCTGAGTGCACCCGGGAACTGGAGGAGCGAGTTGACACAGAGACTCGGGTACCGAGTTTTGCTGCAGGTTCGGGATATGGCTTGGGTGGGCTTTCGAAGCCCGGGAGCTTTGGTTTTGTCCGAGCCTTTGGTTCGTAGTCCAACAACGATTCCGGCCGACACGGCCGAAGCGACGATGAATACTGCGGAGAGGACTAAAAGCAGTTTCAGCTTCCGCCTTCTTGTCGGCATTGAGACGGCGTCGTCTTGTGGCTCGGGCTGTGACGAGCCAGGCTCCACAGATCCAAGCCTGCCGTATCCCATTTTCTTTTTCTTTTTCTTTTCTTTATTTTTATTTCTCTAACTAGAGAGAGAAACCAAATAAAAATAGAAATAAAAACCAAATGTGGATTGTGGAGAAGTAGAATAGAAGAAGAATGTGAATTTTAGGGAGATATAGAGAGAGTTGTATGGTATGGAAAGAATTTTAGAGAGAGAGAGAGAGAGAGTTTATGGGAAAATGTATATAGAGAGAGAAGGAAGACAGTGTGAGGAGTTCCTATATATGGGCAGTGGGGGAGAGAGAGAGAGGATTAATAGAGGTTGGTGTGTAGTCGGTGTCCATGGAATTAGCTGTCTTCTACTACTTATCACTGCCCACTGGGATCACTCTATAATATATATATATGTGTATATATCAATGGTGGTGTCTACACATGTAGTCCTTTGGAGTACGTGGCTCCATAATTTAGCAACATCATACAAAGGATTAGAGTCTATTTTGTTTTATCAAGTTAAGATTCTATAGGTTAATATAATTTCATATATATATATGTATGTATGTATAGCTCGGGATTTTTAGTAAGCAAATCTACTCAATTCTTGAATAAGATTGTTAGCATTTATTAATCTTACAACAATTTTTTTTTTGTTTTTCATACAAATTTGGAGTGGTGACCAAAATGGGAAATTAATACTTACCTACCTTGCCCAAAAATAATAAATAAAGTGTGGATTTATTTAAAAATTGTTTTGTTTGACTGAGAGAGTCAGTTTGAAACAATCTAACCTTTTTATATATATTAAGTTATTAACTTGATTTAAATAAATTTTTGTGTAACAACCCAATCTACTACACCTATCAAATTGAATAATATTTTAGTAGATGAAGTTGGATAATTTATACCTCCCTGTGAAGAAACGATATTGGTAGATAACTCGAATTTATTCCCCTACTTACCACTGTTTTGTAGAAATTTTGGTAGATATCATTCTAGTGGTTTGGTACTGTCTTGAACTAAGTAAATAAAAAATGATGTGTTACTTTGACTATTTGATAGAAAGTGTCAATCTATAGAATTAAAAAAGTTTAAATGCTCACCGACATTTAATAATCAATCAATGTTTTTAATTATGTTATTAAATCAGGTACTTAACAAGCATGAAGTTTCATCATGTTATATCAATAAATAACATATTTTTTAATTATTTAAATTTTTAATAATTCTATATAAAATAAAAAAAATGTAATTTGTTTTTAATCATGACAATGAATGCATATCAATATTGGTCGATGTGCAAACTTCAAGTCTCGTATCTTTTTTGGGAGGTAAAGACATCAGATCCAACACCTACGTATGAATCACGGCCACTTTTCTCTACATTGCTCTCACAAAATTAGAGATGTCCATGTTAGATTCGAATGAGAAGCAAAATGAGTATAATTTAATAAATATGAAACACAACTCAATAGGCTAAGTTTTTTATTATTAGTGGATAAGTACTCATCTGTTACTATTGATATCAGAGACATATCTAATTCAATTTTAATTCGATATCACACCAAACGCCTGGAACGATAGCGTCTGAATTATCAATCTTGATCGATGTGCAAACTTCAAGTCTTCAACCCTCATCCTATTATTTTTGGGAGGTAAAGACATAAGATCCATGACCTACATATAAAACACATCCACCTTACTCCCACGGAGTTAAAAAGCTCCGCGTTATATTCGAATAAGAAGTAAAATGGCTATGAATTGGTAGATACAGAATATTATTCAATAGTTTAAGTTTTTTTAGTTAATAAGCAAACAATCATCTGTTACTATTCATGTTAAAGACAAATAAAAATTTTTAATTCGGTGTCACACCTATCACTCTGAATAAACAGAATGGCCCGACTGCAATAAGAGCTTGCGGGTCATTAAACTATTCCTTCCGAGTCAAGAAGACGCGTTTTGTATAGCGAGGCCAGTTGTGAACCCTTTTATCCGGTCCCAATATCACTCTGCATTCACTACAATTGTGCATGTTGACATAGGCATCTTTCAATGCAATGGGAAAAAAGTGAAAGGAAAAGACTGATTCATGTGGCCATTTAAAGCAAAAGAAATTGAAAAGGAGGCAATTAATTGCGAAACAGTCAAATTGACATGTATAATAGTAACAACAAATCTGTAGCTTTCAGTTACAGCATTACATTATCATCAATATTTGCTATTTGCATTGTGAAAATAACTCAAGAGTTCAATACTTAGCCTGAGATGGAAAGAAAATAAGACAACTCTCGAAAAAGATTTAACGGAATCTTTGGAAGAAAACAGTTCTAATAAATTATCAATCAAATAGATTTTTATGTAATTTTCTGATTTTCATATCTCAAAAAACAAAAAAAAATTGTTATAAAAAACAAACTTACGTTGTTGTTTTTTCTCCAACATTTTGGACCACACTGTGGCCATAAACCTACTACGTAATAATCACCAAAGGGCTAGGACCTTTTTGAGGAAAGGGAGTGATTCAAGTCTCGGTATGGGTAAAAAGGTGTATGTATTTGTTGTATCATTCTAATATATAATAAGAATAATAATAATAAAAATAATAAGAAGTCCAAATATTCACTTCTTACCGAAGACCATGGGCAGGGAGTCAGGGACAGTCCGGACGGACTCAAAAAATTAGGTGAGGGGGAAATAATGAAATTTTTAGTAATTTTAGGATGGCAATAGTAATATTTCATGGATATATAATTAAAAAAAAAAAAAAAAACGAAATTAACAAAGGTAAATTACTAAAAATTTCTCGATCAGTCCTGACCATAGGTGAAGGGCTGTAATACTAATCCGCTTATTATTAGCTATATATTGTTATTTTTTCCTATTAAGAATTATGATCTCATTTCATTGTGAAAATTTTAATTTAAAATTTAAGCTGAAACTCTTAAAACTTTCATATATTATATTCCAAGTATAAAAGAAATGCAGTGGGTTGAGAATATATAATATATATTGTTCTCATTCTTTCCACATCTTTTCATTTACTTTTTCCTTATGCTATTTGGCTTTGGAGATGGTTCAGGTTTGTTATGTGGAGTGATTAGTGTTTTTTAAATCTTAAACCACAGGAATAAATTAAAAAAAGAAAAGAAAAGTGAGCTTGTAAAGAAAGCAAAAGCAAAAGCAAACAAAGGTGCTTACAGAATTGAGAAAAGTTGGAACCAAATGAATATATAAAAAGTAAAATTAAAAAGTAAAAGAATCAATCTGGGAATTTAATTTGGAGCCATAATGGGGGCTTTTTGTAGTAAAAATAACAACACTATTAACTTAATTAAGGGTTTGTTAACCAAATATGTCTGACAGATTTCATTTTTTTTTTTTAATTATATCACATCTTTTGATTGGGAGACCACTGATTGCACGACGTTTCCCGAAAAAAATGAAATATGAACAAAAGTCGAAATTCATTTATGTCATCTTGGTCTAACAACACTTTCTCCTACTTCACAATGCTCCCAAGGGCCAAGACTCGTTAATGGAGATTAACATATAAAACTAAATATATATACATTTTTTTTTGGTTAAAGTCATTTATTTATGTATTTTTATTAAATATGAGGGAACATTAGTATAAATTTTTGTTTTACTCGCTTTGAGGTGTGATGGTATTATCCGAGTAATAAAAGGTCAGGCCTTTAGAGCCCCTACCCTATGGATCTCATGCTCGATTCCCTTCCCCTTCCCCCTCCCCATCTAACTGTCACTAACTACTAACCATTGCATTGAATTCATATAATAGATATTATACATGTGTATATGTAAATGTAAATGTAAAATAAAAGTAAGAACTACCATAACAATAAATTTATATTTTTGATTAACAAGATTTAAGCTTTCAAAATTAGGTTAAAAAAGGTTTGAAATATTATATGAACATGGGACACAAGTTATATTATTTTTCAATTTATTATTTTCGGTGTCGATAAATAAGTGTTTAAAAGTTTTATGACCGACCCCATTGGGGACCATAAGTTGGATATGCAATTAAAGACAAAATAGATTATTTCTCTACGTATTGCATGCATGTCGTATTCAATGCCACAAATTATGGTGGCAACATATATAATGTGACTAATGTCTTGTTTAATATTAGTCATATGTAGTGGATAACAATTATAAAGTCTTTGTTTAATTAACTCAAAAACAACTGTTTGCAAAAGTTTTGTTTTTGTGTTTTTTGTTTTTAACGTTTGAGGTCGATTCCAATGTCATGAAGTCAATACATGTTCTGAATCTCAGTCTATATTAGTTTCTTTGTTATTGGTAAGTTCTTTTAATTATTTTCTTTTCCAATTATTACTCTGGATCAATAAATATAGATCACATCTTCTCTAATTCAGTATGGTCACACATACATATATGCCTATATATACTAGGAAAAGGCACGTGCGATACACAGTGATAAATATTTTGTAACTTATAAATTTTTTATCTTCATATTGATTAATAAAAATTTATTTTATATTAATAAATAAATACTGAAATATTTTGAAATTGGTGATAGAGTTTAAGTTTCGTAAATTAATAAATTCTTTTATGTTTTTATATTAATACTGAAATATGTATATTTTATTTTTTATTAAATAATAATTTTTTATTTTAATAGTGAAATATTTGAGTTTTGCAAAGTAACAAATTTTTTTAGGTAATTTGAATTTTATTAGATAATTTGAAATTTAGTATAATTTTTAATTTACAATAGAAATTCAATTATTTTAATTTTTAATTAAATTTTAAAATGGAAATTCAATTACACTAATTATACATTAGATTGAAATTGATATAAAAATTTATTATATGGAGTTTGTGGTTTTTGGAAGACCCTAGGTTATATTTTATTTTTTTTAAATATGTAATTTGTGGTAGAATTTTATAGAAATTATTTTATTTTATTTAGATATATCTTTGTAAAATTAGATTTTCTTTTATTAAAAAACTCATAAAAAATAGATGTGTTCAAGGGTTATATACTTATATGTGATAGAGTTCTCTTTTTGTATTAATTAATAAATATTTTTTATATTACAAAATAAATACTTAAATGTTCAAATTCTTTAACATTTTTATTTTATTTATATGTAGTATTATATTATTATATATTTTCTTTAAATATATCCTTGTCTAATGTAATAGAGTTATAGAAATTGTTTTATTTTTTTTAAATATATCCTTATTTAATTAGATTTTATTTTATTAGAAAACTCATAATAAATAGATAAATACAGGTTATATATGATAGAG